GCATGATATTTGGAACGCTGACACCATACTGTTGCAGAAATGAGACCAAACCAGCTCTTTGTTGAAGGGAAAGGTTTATTGCACAAGGTTCAGCAGCGATAGCTCAAGCAGAATCTGAACCCCGAAGAGCAGAATCTGAACCCCGAAGGGCAGTTTGTTACAGGTTTTTATACTTTATCAGGCAGGATATTGATCATTCTCCTAAATACATATTCTTCCCGTGTCATGTATGCCTTGTACACATTAACCCTAGTGACAGGATATCTTGATTACCTTATGAGAATAGAATCTTTTCAATTTCCTGCCTAGACCTAGTCAAGTAGATAAGGTATTCAATCCCCTGTGGAATGGATAAGGCTCGGGGCATTCTTGTCCGGCTTAACCTTACCTATATGTTGTTAACCCTTTATTGAGACGTCTAAGCCCTGTTATTTTCTGCAACAATGATGAGTCACACCGTTCCAAATATTGCTGTTGGTTATTTTTTCCCAGAAGGGAACAAAAACAGTAGTGAAAATCATCACAGTCCTTTAAGCGCATTCTGCACTAGTCACTAAAGGAACCCTTCAATTCTCCCTTTATAACTGTCCCAGAAGAGGAGAAGAAGAAGCTGTAAAGTGGATTCCGTATTGTGGGTTAGGGTTGAAAGTCCTGCACTCGAAAACGTCGGTGCCCCGTCTTCGTCAAGCACAACAGCCCCCTCTTCCAAAATTCAAGCCAGGTTTTGCATCGGACCTTCTCTGCCCGCCTCCAGCCCAACTGATCCCGCCCTTTCTCTCGGTAGCAGAAGCCACAGATGGCGCTGCGCTGGAGCTGGGGGTTTCTTCGCTTGTGTCCCCTCCTCGTTTTTTGGGGTCTCGCCGCCGCCCAGGAGCCCTTCGAAGCCTTCCAGGCGGGCCACAGCTCCTCTTCCCAGCCCGCCGCTGCTGTGGCGGCGCCTTTCAGACGGTGAGAGAAGCAGAGCAAGCGCCGGGCCCGAGGGGCGCGTTTGCAGTCCGCCCGCACTTCCTTGAGTGCGAGGGGCCTGGGACATCCCTTGAGACGGAGGGAACCCAAGCCTCGTTCTTCGGCCGCTTCATTTTTTGCAGTGAAGAAGCCGGAAGGAGGGCTCCCAGCGTCCGTTTGTGAGGATGCGAGAGCGCGGCCGAGCTTGCTCCGGCTTGTGGCTTCTTGCCCTGCTTGGTGGCTTTAATTCTTCAGGGTCTGATCCGGTTCCCCTTTCAGTCTCTTTCTTCGCTAGTTCCTGACCATTTCCCCAATAGAAACTTTAACAACCTCTTCAAAAGTCACCGTTCTTTCTGTTTTGTTTAATGTTGTTAGTCTATTGAGGAAGTTTTAAAGAAATGGGATGAGATTCGCCTGCTTTCCATCTCCACATCTCATCCCCAGAATTGCCTCTGCCAATAATACCTGGGTTGGAGGCGTTTATGCATAACAGTTAACTTAAAAGTATCTCCCAAGAAATACAGGGAGTCCTCTATTTACGACCACAATTGAGCCCAAATTTTCTGTTGCTAAGTGAGACATTTGTTAAGTAAGTTTTGCCCCATTTTGCCACTTTTCTTACCACAGTTGTTAAGTGAATCACTGCAGTTGTTAAGTTAGTTACATAGTTGTTAACTGAATCAGGCTTCCCCATTGACTTTGCTTACCAGAAGTACACAAAAGGTGATCTCAATATCTTAGGACTTAGGACACTGCAACCATCATAAATATGAGTCAATTGTCAAGCATCTGCATTATGATCATGTGACTATGGGGATGCTGCAATGGTTGTAAGTGTGAAAAAGGCTGAGGGAAGTACAAGGCCCTAACTTACTTTTATCAGTGCCATTATAACTTTGAATGGTCACTAAATGACCTGTTGTAACTCAAGGACTACCTGTATTAACATAGTAATTCTTACCTTGTGTAATATAGACATACAGTGCATATTTAAAGGAGGTGGTTTATATGCTGTAGCTTGTACTGTATATCTCTACTGAAACTTACAGGGCAAGTACTGCAGGCACATAAAGACGACAAATTCCACACTCAGTTCATACTGCTGTTTATCTGTTTGGGTATCAAAATGTCTGGAAGCAAATAGTCAAGCTTTGGGAGCACCAAAAGCACCACAGAGAGCTTAAATACTTATGAAATCCAGGCTTATTGAGAGGAATAGAATACCTAGTGGTTTTGAACTGGAACTTTGCTATAAAGTTGTAATCAGAGGAGATAGCAGGATTTGAGGCGGTGGGGTGGGAAGAGAAAGTACAAACTGTGTCTTTGATTTACCCCTAATATAATCCCAAGGACAAGATAATTTAGAGTAACTGGATAAAACAGTAAATGACAAATGACTTTTAGCATGTTATATTTAAGACGGGGCTCTTAAATCTTTGATGAGCATAGGTAAACACAGGAACAATGTTTCATTCAGTAGTGAAAATGGCATGTCACTATTTTCAGTACAAGATATTTACTGATTATACTATACATAGGACTATATCAATACCACACCAATAATGTTGTTTAAACCTTAGTTAGGATTACTGAATAGTCACAAAGCGTGAGATTTTAAATGACTGAAAAGAAAATAGTTTTTGTAAAGATTATGGACAAGGATAGGAGACATCAATTTAATTAGCTTGTTTTAATGCAGAATATCTCTATACCACAGCACACCCAGACAGTGACAATCCTTCTTGAGTATACACAAAAATTGTATATTAGGAGCTTTCTTAGCACTAAGAAGAAAAAAGCATGAAAGCATAAAAATAAATGCAGTGGTTTTTATATAACAATGGGGATTTATTTTATATCATACAGTAGATGATAAAGAGAAGCCATCATAGAATGTCAAAGCAGCATGTCATAATATTCCATCATTCTTTTCAAAATGTCTGAATTCAGAATCCTTCCAAAATATAGTTGCTTAGCTTTTTTTCCTCTGCTTTAAAATTGAAATGATTATAAATCATGGTTTAACAGTAGTTTATTTGTAATATTATTTCTTTTCTCTAGGTATCTTTTGTATGATGTTAATCCACCTGAAGGTTTCAACCTACGTAGAGATGTATACATACGAATTGCATCTCTTCTGAAGACCTTATTGAAGACTGAAGCATGGGTGTTGGTTCTTCCTCCATGGGGACGTCTTTATCATTGGCAAACTCATAAAATTCATCAAGTCCAAATTCCTTGGTCCAAATTTTTTGATGTGCCAAGCCTCAATGAAAACATACATGTTATTGAGTATGAACAATTTGTTGCAGGTAACATATGCTTTAGAAGCACCAATGATATGAAATCTTAGTATAGTTTCATCTGGCTTTTTCTATGCATTAAGATAGGTGAGCTGTATTAAGATACTATTTCAGCCTTCAAACTCTATGCATATTTTTTAACTTTTTCAGTACAAACGTATGTATTCCCCATTTAAAACGTTTTGGTATATGCACTGTTGAAAAGCACAATGATTGCAGACAAAGTTCATGAATTTAGTAGTTACAGGCTTGTTATTATGGGCTTGTGGGGAGAGAGAGAATACAATTTTATTAACTTTTCAAATGCTTTGGAATTTTCTTCCTGATGCAAGCTATTTGGCTCTCCCCTTAAACATACACAGGTCCATTTCAAATTCTTCTATTCAAACCTCCATTCCAAAAAGTGTAAGATAACTACTTTACAATCAGTGGTGCTACTTTGTATCTACTGGCTACAATGCATTATGATTGTACATCTATTATCTGTAGCGAGATATATGCTTACATTTGTGTACTGATTTATGTTGAATTGTTACTCAGAGTCAGGTGGTCCTTTTATTGATGAGATATATGTCCTACAAAACTATGCTGAAGGATGGAAAGAGGGGACATGGGAGGAGAAGATTGATGAGAGACCATGCATTGACCAACATATGTATTCAACAGACAAAGATAAATACTACAGGTATACTAAACTTTATATTGTTATATTAACATAATTTCTAGCTAAAAATTATTTCCAACCTTGTTTTCTGGGAAGGAGGGAAGTATTTTAGAAAAAGAGAGAAAAACATTTTAAAATTCAAAATCAAGCTCTTGGGATAGGCAAGTCAAAATTCAAACGATACGTAGAATCTTTCTCCTTAGAAGAATGTATCACGGTGAAAGCATCAAAAATGAGAAGACTTCTTGTTCCAAAATCTCAGCCAGCAGGGCCCAAAGCCTCAGAACAAGCAGAGCCACAGGAAGAGATGGGTATAGGCTATTGAGGTGTTAAAAGTCCTCATCTTATATTGATAGATAAATGGAAACAGTATTGTATAGGAGATATATTATCTAGATAATAACTCCCTGCTGATAGCCAATGGTTGCAGCAGTTTACAGATTTTTATAATTTGTCAAGTCTTTTCCTAAGCAATTCACAATCCAAATCAAAGTTCAGTAATATGAAATTCCAGGTCTATGTATTGTCCCAAAAATGTATCTGAGAGCCCCCCACAGCACTCTTAATTTTATCATGGTAATTTAATTGCAAAATACAATTCCCTGTTATTTTGTGATATGAAACTTGAAACTATTAGCCTTAAAGCAGACTTAATACAGCTTTTAAAAATTCATTCCAAAAACTGAAAAGATAACATTTCACCCCAACTTAACAGACTCCTACTGAGCATCTAAGTTCCACAAATTGCAGCCTTCTTTTTCCCCTATCACTTGGCTTTTTACTTTTCTACCTTGTTCATTTGGAAGCCAAAACATTTCTCATGATCATATCAGAAAGCAAAATGAAAGTGATACTAGTTAATTATTTAAATTTGACTGTTTTTAATAAACAAATTTCTTCATATAACATCTTTCCTCAGTGTGGTCATCTTCCATTTAATTGCCTTAATGAATTAGAAAAAGGAAAAAAATAAATCCATGTGAAATGGGTAACAGCAGTTTTATCTACAAAAAGTCGAGGGAAATGAAGGACAGGGGAAGATATGCAAAACCAAAGAAGAATATAGAAGAAATGTGGTTTGTGTGGTATGCTTCCTAAAAATAGGAACCAACTTCTCAGAGGATTCAAATTTGTACTGTTTTCAGAGAATGGGTAGTAATTTGTTTTAAAGTAAAAGTAGACTTTCCTGTTCTTCGTTGTTTTAATCTTTGTTTAAAACTCATACAGTATTTTTCCTTTTAACTAACTTGTAATGCAGTTTTGTTTGTTTTTACCCATACTCACTATTATCTTCAACTGACTTATTGTAATCCATTATTAAAGAATTCTTAAACTTTTTATTTTAAGAAAATATTAAAATAGTACTTTATATTACAATTTTCACTGAATGTTTTTACTTCATGTCATAACATTCTAACAAGTTACTATTGAGTTATCAACTTATATTGAGTTATTATCAAGATTTATTTCAGATTTATTACTACTTTGTATTCATGAAACTATTAACTCTTCTTGTTCTTATAGGGGATGGTTCTGGGGTTATGAAGAAACTCGAGGCCTTAAAGTGGTTTGTTTATCTGTCCAAGGTTCTGCTTCTATTGTAGCCCCTTTGCTTTTGAATTTATCCAGCAGGTGAGACTTCCTGAATTAATTTTTTTATTCCACACAGTTGCCATATTATTTAGCTTAGAAGAAGAAAGTAGGGAATTTTATGTTTTCTCATGCATCAAACTTACTAATGTTGGCAGTATTTATTATCCCAATTTACAACTACTGTAAAGGGAAAAGAATATAAATCGTAAATTGAGGCTGGGGAGCATCTTTTGGATTTGTGAATCAATCTTATGGTTATAACAGAATAGCAGAGTTGGAAGGGACCTTGGAGGTCTTCTAGTCCAACCTCCTGCTCATACTCCACTTTCATACTTATTAAGAAAATGCCATGGATGCATCAATACTTGTGGAGCTCAAAGAGGAAAATTGTCTTAATGTATCTTTACCTTACTTAGTTTTTTTTTTTCATTTTAATAGGTCAGTGATGTTAGACAGAGCTGAACATCTTCTTCATGATCATTATGGTGGCAAAGACTACTGGAATGTGAGAATAACATAATTTTATTTATATTGTGTGCATAATAATGGAGTAGTCACTTTTAATACACAATCTGTTAAATATTATTTTTATTTATGAAAACCAAATCCTTCCATTCTATGATTAGCTATGCATTAGCCTTAGCAGCTGCTTGTAATTAACCATATCTCAGTCGTAATAATTTAATTTTATTCTATAGCACATAAAAATACAAAATGTGCCCATCATTTTAAGGGATTCAGGAAATATCTGCTAAAATGTAATTAAAGTCCATTTAAGAAAATGTCTGTAGCATTTTGCATTCAGTGAATCTTTCATTTGTATCATAAGAACCCTGGTGGCGCAGGCTAACTGGTGGTGCAGGCTAACTGCCTACAGCCTGGAGTTCGATCCTGACAAGTTCAAGGTTTACTTAGCCTTCCATCCATCCAGGGTAGGTAAAATGAAGATCCAGATTGTTGATAGCAATAAACGGACACTAAACCACTCACAATGCTATAAAGCACTATGTGGTCATATATAACTCTAGGTAGTATTGCTATTGCTAATTAGAACCTTGTATTGTATAAACAGAAGATATGTACTACACCTGAATTTTTCTGTTTTTTAAAAATTGAATTCCTTTAAGCATTCCCATAAAAATTGAAGTGTTTCCACTGAAAAGAGATATTTTTTCCTTCATCAATTGTTAGAACTTCCCATTTGTCCAAATGTTCTACTGCAAGCTTCTTGTTTAAATTGTTCTTAGATTAATATATTTATTTGTAATTGCTAATGTAATGAACTGCAATTTAACACAGGCATGTCCAACCCATGATCTAAGGACCAAATGGTGCCCTGGACAGATAGTAATACAGCCCAGAAGATTGTAAACTTTTGACATTATTATGTGATTTATGTTACATATTTTATATGTAGCATATTTTATATGTAGCTCAGGACAATTCCTGTTCATTTGGTGTGGCCCAGGCAAGCCAAAATTTTGATCATCTATGATTTTTGACATAAAACCACTTGTTTTTTTTAACCAACTCTGAAACTAACACTCTTATCAGCCTTACTGATAAAACAATTATTTCTTTCAGTTTCATTTTCCTGTAATTTTGTGTATTCTAGGAGACTTTTGTAATTATGCTGAAATAAATAAACTAGTTTTCAATAACATTTTTATGTCAAACAGACTCGTCGAAGTATGGTGTTCGCCAAACACCTCCGTGTGGTGGGAGACATGTTTAGAGCTAAATATTTAAATTCTTCTGATGAAAAGGACAGAACATGGTACTCTGAAGATTGGAGAAATATGAAGGTAATGTAATTAAGTAATTGGTTGGTTGGTTGGTTTATTGGATTTATATGCCACCCTTCTCCCAAGGACTCAGGGCAGTGTACAACATTAAAAAAAAACACATATTACAAAAGTTAAAAAAATTAAATAGAATATCCAAAACAAACCCAATTAAGATTAACAATAACATTTTTTTTTAAATCGATTAAAATTAATAATAATCAAAATTTTATTTTGTTCAGGCCAGGCTGGCTTGCTGGAAAAGCCAACTCTTTAGGGCGCATCGGAAGGACCAAAGGTCGGGGATTATACAAAGCCCCGGGGGTAGCTCATTCCACAGGGAAGGCTCTCCCCCTGGGGATCGCTAGCTGACACTGTCTGGCCAACAGCACCCTGAGGAGGCCAACTCTGTGGGATCGCACTGGACGGTGGGAGGCTACTGG